CCCCTCACTCTTCTCTTCTGCAGACTAAACAATCCCAGTTCCCTCAGCCTCTCCTCATAAGTCATGTGCTCCAGACCCCTAATCATTTTTGTTGCCCTCCGCTGGACTCTTTCCAATTTTTCCACATCCTTCTTGTAGTGTGGGGCCCAAAACTGGACACAGTACTCCAGATGAGGCCTCACCAATGTCGAATAAAGGGGAACGATCACGTCCCTCGATCTGCTGGCAATGCCCCTACTTATACAGCCCAAAATGCCGTTAGCCTTCTTGGCAACAAGGGCACACTGTTGACTCATATCCAGCTTCTCGTCCAGTGTGACCCCTAGGTCCTTTTCTTTTCAAGCACATGACAAACAGCGACGATACCAGGAGCCGTGAGCCGGAGCGCCATCGTGCATCGACGACGAGAAAGGGACCGAGAGACTTCGTCCGTGGGACCATGTGAACTGGAACCAGAAACTCCCTGAACGTTAAATCTCCCCAAATGAGGGTCAATCCATCCTCAGCATCGTATCCACTCATACGCCACACCCGCACAGAGCCATCATATGACCAACATACCCGCCTATCTCCCCGTTAACCTTTGACCCCCACTCGGGGCTATTGCAGGTGATGTATTCCTTACGCCCGCCGATCTGAAACCGACCTTCGCACGCCTTGAGAAGCTGTGCGTCATTCCCTGATCACCAGAAACTTCTGCGCTGAAACGCTCTACTGGGCCCTTTTTTTTTTAAACATCGTCTTAATAAAAGGTTTCTTTACAGGGCCAGCATCTGCTCCGGCACAGGTGATGGGGTTGTAAAGTCCAGCTTCTCCGCGCAGGCTCCTGGGGGCTTTTTGGGGAGAGGGGGCTTGGAGCCGGGCTGCAGAGGTGACGTCTCAGGCCTCTCTCTCTCTGCCCTCACTCAGCACCGACCCAAAGCACACGGCGCGGAACGGAGAGAGACGTGGGGACTCCCCAGCTTCCCCCTCCACCCACATGGGCCCATTCCCCCCAGGCTCCAAGACAGCCCCTGCCACATAGCTCCCCTCCACAGAACCGCCCCGACGCGTCACCACCACATACCTTTTTCTGCAGGGGGGGTGGTCCCTGGCACAGCCCCCTCCAGGTCGCTGCTCTCTGACTCCTGGGCGGTGCCCGGATGGGGGTGTCTCTGGGGAGAGGTGGGGCTGGAGGGCAGCTCTGGCCCCTCCTCACATGTGGTCTCCATGGCAATCAGTGCCATCACCCGTGAAGTCATTAGCTGGGGGAAAGGCCCTGTGGGGAGAAGGGAGCGGGGCTGGGGCCAGAGTCAAATCCTGCCTCTGGAGCTGGGGTCTTTACCCCGCCCCCCACCCCCATGGCCAGCCCAGTATCCCAGCTCTCCCACCCTTAGGCTTCCCCACAGAAACTGCTGCCTGAGTCTGCAGACAGCCTGCAACAGCAGCCCCACGAGGGAGGTGGCAGCCAGCCAGTCCGATGGGGCTGTTCACTCTGAACTCTAATGACAACGGTGAGTGCCACTGTCGAACCCTCAGGGCCCTGCTTATCCATTGGCCACCCGGGTCTGCAAGGCTGTGGAGCGGACCAGGGGGTCTGACAGGGGGGCCAGGACCAGGTGCACTTCCAGCAGGGGGTCCGCAGAGACAGATGGGGCGGGAGGGCCAGGACTCTACAGGGACAGCCAGGGTGTGTACAGAGAGCGAGCTGCAGCAGAGGGCTGGGGAGTCCACACGGGACCCCCAACCAATCCAGAGGGGCTGGGCTGAGCTGTGTCGCTGTGGGATGGGGCCCATGGAGGGTGGGGCTGGCTCCTCATCCAGGGTGTTGCGGAAGAGCCAATTCTGCCCCCCCCCCGATCCTCCCACCCCCTCCGTGCAAACCTAGCGCCCCAGAGAGCCGGCTCTGCCCCCCCCGATCCTCCCACCCTCTCTATGCCAACGGAGCACCCAAGAGAGCCGGCTCTGCCCCCCCTCATCCTTCCACCCCAAACTAGCACGCAAGGGAGCCAGCATGTGTGCCCAATCCCTCTGAGCCCCCCTCATCTATACCTGTGGGTCTCAACCAAGGGGCCACAGCACCCCGGGGGGAGCCCTGCAAACTGGTTTCCGGGGTCCACTGGGCCCGGAACCCCAAGTCCCTTTGCCCCGCGGGGCTGAAGCCGGAGCCTGGAGCGCCCAGCCCTGAGCCCCGGTGCCCCGTGAGGCAGAAGCCCCCAGCCCCACGGGGCTAAAGCCCCGAACCCCGCCCCCACCCCGAGTCCCAGCCCTGAACCCCGAGTCCCAGCCCCACGGGGCTAAAGCCCCGCCCGCCCAGAAGCAGCCCCTGCTCTGGCAGCCGAAGCCTGGCGGCCTCCCCCCGGGCCCTGGTGTTTTTATAGCCTGCAGGGGGGCTGCAAACTCCTCAGCTGTACCCCATGCCTGGCCCCCCATGCGGCAGAGCCCACCCACCGGGGCAGGGGCAGCGCCTGGGTGAAAACGGCCTGACAGATTGTGGGGCCTGGGCAGCTCCAGGCCTGGGCCGCCTTTGCCCCCCGCATCAGGCCCATCGCCAGCAGGGACCCACACCTGCAGATCCACCCCAATACACCTCACCGGCCTGGCCCTATGTTCAGTAGGGAGCCAGGCCGGGGGTCTGACCACTGAGCACTGCCCCCCCCCCGCTTCACTCTCCCCTGGCCCCCCCACCTGCCTGCCCCCATCCACTGCCCCATACCATGCACTGCAGGGCCCCTCTGCCCTCCTGGCTCCCAGGCCCCCTGCGGTGCCCCCTGCCTCCCTAATCGCCCTCCCCCAGCCCGCTAATGGGGCTCCCTGGACGCCCCAGCGGAGCCCCGCAGACCCCCCCCCCCACAGCGGGACACTCACTCCCCTTGCAGTGCCCGGGGGTTCAGGGCAATCAGACCCTTCTCCACCATCTTCTCCAAGGAGGGCAGCGAGCGGAAGACGCCCAGGAAGGACTGGGGGTGGGGAGGGGGCACAGACATCATCCCCTGCACCTCCCATCACACAGCTGGGGAAATGGCTCCCAGCTCCCCTGCTGTAACCACAAGATGCCAATTTCCCTCCCAGAGCCAGGGAGCGAACCCAGGAGTCCTGCAGATTCACACCAAGGTCCTTTCCCATGGATCAGGGTGGTCCCAAGCCCCGATCCCTTCTGTTCCCCCACGCCAGCTACACTCACTGCCCAGGGCACAGAAAGCCACAAGCTCCCGCCCGGACTGGGCACACGGGCTGCCAGGAGCCAGCACCGGCCAGGGCTGGAAACCCCCAGGCCACGCGTGCCCAGCTGGGGGCAGCACATCCCGAAGCCACAGGGAGACCCTGGGGTGAGGGCAAAGGGCCAGGGGCCCGGAGCTGCTGCCACGCTATGGCCCATCCCCCCCACCCACGCGGGACCAGCTTCGGATGTGCCCCAGGCCCGGCGCCTCCGTGGGATTTAGGTGCCAGCAATGGGGGATGGGCACCTGAGCCTAAGTGACTTAGGTGCCTACGTGCCACTGAAAGTCGCTGGGGCACAGGCTGGCCTTAGCAGGGAGTTCACAAATCACCTGAAGTGACTGAAGGGGGAGGGGGGTCATTGGGCTCAGCCTCATTGCTGGTGGGGGAAACTGAGTCACAGAGTGGTCTAGCAATTGCTTCAAGATCACACTGCTCTAACCAGTAGATCCCACCCGCCTCCCCCCCGAGCTAGGGATAGAGCCCGTGAGTCCTGACTCTCAGCCCTCCCCTGCTCTAACCACTAGACCCTGCTACCCTGCCAGGGTCACTGGCTGGCTGCCCAGGGGGGAAAGCAGGGCTACCCTGGCTCCCACCGCTAGGGGGTGCCCTCATGCCATTCATGGACTGTCCTAGCCCTCCACCTGGATACTGGCTGCCCTCTCTGGGCCTAGCGTTAGCTGGAGCCTCTGGGTTTTACCAGCACTGAACGAACAGAGCAGTTCCCTAAAGTGCTGGCTATTAGCAGTGGGTTGGGCGCCAGGACTCCTGGGTTTGACCCCAGCTATGGCAGGGGATGCAGTGCCACCCGCTTGACTGCCTGTACATCAAGTCTTGCACTATTTCCTGGCTTTCCTAAAGCCCCAGCTCCTGGAGTCACGTTATTATGCGAGTGTGACCGAACCTCTCGCCCCCCAGTTGACCCCTACACACTATTGCAATAGTCTTCGCACACGACCTGCCTTGTGAGGGCTCGTTTGAAAACTAACAACCCCGCTGGTTGCTGCCCAGATGGTGAAATGGCCGTGGCCGTATTATAAGTGGAATTCAGCCGCTCCCTGTACGACACTATTAGCATCTGCTCAAAAAGCCGGCAGCGGTGCCCCGGCCAACGGGCCTGGCCTAAACACGGGCAGGGCAGGGGGGTTAAACAGGGGCCTCAAGGTGGCTGGGGAGGCGCTGGCAGGAGACGAAGCAATTTGCATTTGAAGAGCCCGGAGCCGCCTTTCCGTTGCCTTTGTCACAGCTCGACTCAACTGTCTTTCGCGGGGACCCTGGGGAAGATGCCAGCGGCTCCAGGACCCCACAACGTGTCGGCCTAGGGCTGCACAGTACCCAGAGCGCAGGCTGGTCGTGGCCAGTGGCATGGTCTGGGGAGGCACTCGGGGGTATGGGGCAGGAGGCGACAGGCTGGGTGCACCCCAGACCGGGAGACTCGATTTTCACTCTCTTGGTTGTGGAGAAAAGAAGCATCACACACACACTCTCTCTCTCTCTCTCTCTCAAACAAGTCCGCATTTGTCAGCCAGGCTCAGGCTCAGGGGTGGGGGTCTGACATTCAGGGGTATCGAAGCTGCGAATAACCCTGCCCGTGCCCAACCCAAACTCCCAGAACATCTCTCCCGGCTCTAGTCCTGACCCCCTGCTCTGAGCACTGCACCCCACTGCCCTCCCAGAGCTGGGATGGAACCCAGGAGTCCTGACTCTCAACCTGCCCCCCCGGCTGTGACCAGTAACCCCCACTTCCCTCCCAGAGCTGGGATAGAACCCAGGAGTCCTGACTCTCAACCCGCCCCCCCCCCCGGCTGTGACCAGAAACCCCACTTCCCTCCCAGAGCTGGGATGGAACCCAGGAGTCCTGACTCTCAACCCGCCCCCCCCGCTGTGACCAGTAACCCCCACTTCCCTCCCAGAGCTGGGATGGAACCCAGGAGTCCTGACCCCCAGGCTCCCCAGCTGTCTCTGCTGACACAGCCCTAGGCCCTTTCAGAGGTGCGAGCGAGCTGGGGGGCTGGCTCTGGTGTCCCTTCAGCGCTCGCTCTTCAAACATGGCTCACGGACAAGCCCCAGTGGGAGCGATGGCTGGTGAGCGTCCTTGTCCCCTGCCCTGTGGCGTAGGCTGCCTGGCAGGGAGCAATGCCCAGGATGGTCCAGTGCCCACTGACACAAAGTTCAAGCCTTATTTATATGCCTCCCTCTCTGGCAGCAGGGAGAGGCAAGCAGGCACCCGGCGCTGCCTGGCCTAGAGCAAAGCGTATTAAAATTGCAGGCTGACACCGTGCGTGGTGGGGGGTTTCCGGGTGCTGCTGGCAGGGAGACGCAGTAGGAAATGCTGTGATCTGTATCCCAGCCTAGCGTAGAGGGAGCAGCCTGCTTTGTCTCTCACTGGTTTTGGATTTGTGGGGGTGGCGTTTGGGATTCTCAAACAGAAAGCTGTGTTCCGCTGCAGGCTGCCAGCAGGCGCGGTTATGTTTGCACCTGGATG